TGCTGAGACTTGAAATCAGAAGTGAATTTTTCTTCTCCTTTTGAGCACGTTATACAGGTGTCTGTTTCAGACACTTTGATGATAACTTTTTAAAAACAAGCATTTAGTTTTAGCTTTTAGTGAACATTACCATTTCCATGTTACAATTTTCCCCTTCTGAGTTAGTGTCTTAAAGGACAACCATGCTACTCAAGACACAAGAGCATGTTAATTTGAGTTCTAGAGACTGCCTATGTGTTCTGAATTTGCATCACAAATTTTGGACTTGAATTGATGCTAAGATAAGTAGATAGATCTTAGCTTCCTGAGCTGTGCATTTAATAATTACATTTTAATATCAGCCTCTGATTTCCACTTACTTTTTGGACTCTTGATGACTTGTTAGCTCTGGTAGAAGAAACCAGAAATCTAGCTTTGTGTGTCATGTCGATTTTGAAGTCACGGCTTTGCTTTCCATGTTTCTCACTGGATATGCTTTTTTTAGCTCCTCAGGTTGCCAAATAACAGGCTTTTTTTCCTGGTTGGTGGGTAGTCAGCTAAGCTTAGGGAAATGGGTATGTAGAAATCTGGCCTAAGAAACCCCGATCAGCAGGGCTAACATGATACATGTGGGAAAAGCAGTGCAGATAGAGTACGGTTTTGACAGACATTCTCGTGAGCGGCTGTTTGATGATCAAGTGAGAAGGAGTCTGTGAACTTCAGCTTTGTAGAAGGATGAGGTTTTTATTCTTACTAGTCTGTGATTTTCCTGACCCTATATGCTTATTATCTAGCTCTCTTTAGTGGACTTCTTTAATTAGTTGATATAAATATTTACTTTCAAGTGTCCATCTACCTACAGCCTTCTCATAGCTCCTACTAATAAGCTGCATTTTAAGATAATTTCACATACCCTCCATAGTATTACTAAAGCTTGATAGGGCATTCTTTGCATAAGAATTAAGAAGTATCCTTTGTACTGGTACTACTATGCTATCGTGGGTTTTTGTTGGAGTTTTTTTTGCTGTCCTCATTCTTAATCTCCTTGTGGATGAGACCCAGTTCCACTTATGGCCCAAGTCCAGAAGTTCAGTTCTCCATCTGTAGCACACCCTTACCAACCTGATGGACTCAATGTAGCTAATACGTAGAGCTGCAGCCTGGCATCCTGGGGAAGAGAGAGTAACAACCAAATGAAGACATGTTAACGTGTAGTATCACTGCCTCTCTGCAGGGATGGATGTCTGAAAGACAGGAATAGTCTACTATTTGCCAGTACACTCTTCTTTCTCTCTCTCTCTCTCTCTCTCTCTCTCTCTCCCTTTCTCTCTGTTTCCCTCCTGGGATTACAGGGTGCTTTTTTGCTGAGCAGTGATTCCTGCCCACTGGAAGTCAGGCCCTAGGGAGAGCAATATAGTGATTTCTGTATACTCATTCTATGCAATTAGACCCCTGAAGCAAAAGCTTTTAAAAGCAGGCTGTGAAATGCCCATGTATCTTTATAAGCCTATCTTCCAACTGGATGGAGAAACTTTTCTAGTAATTTTTAATTTTATAAAGTCTATTTTTTCCCCTGGGCCAAGGGGTGGGGGAATGTCTGGACACTAAAAGCTTAGGTATAACAATGTTATTTTTTCTGCCTCTCAATGATTAAATGCAATTTTACCCATTTAGTAATACAATGATTGTGGCTACATTAGATAATGCTGGTGGAGAGATACAAAGAAAAACTAAGTGTAATGAGGTAACAATTTATTTTTACTCTTTCTGTAAGTTAAAAATTCCCAGGACATTCAAATGAACAATAAAAGTAATTGCAAAATTATCTCCTGAAATGGAAATAGATTTTATTCCCTAGCATTAGCAATTTTCTTGTTATTTTCAAAATCAGCTGCTGATTCTTTCAAAACTTCTGGGTGCCTGGCTGCTGGGGAAGAAGTCAGAATATCAATCTTGTGGTCCTGTTTCACAGTTCACTGCCAGGAAGGAGACACGATCAGGATAGGACACTTTGGTCATTGTTCAGGCAGGGGTGGGGACGCTAGAATTAGAACTACATCCCCAGTGAGGCCATACGGAAGAGGGTAGTTTGTTTTCACTATGGAAAGTTATATTTATAACAAATATAAAATTGAAATCAGGCTGGGGATGTAGCTCAAGTGGTAGAGTGCCTGTCTAGTAAGCTCAAGGCCCTGAGTTCAACCCTTGGTACCACCAAAAACAAATAAATAAAACTGGAATCATTCTGGATTCTACTATATTTGTAAAGATTACCTCCTGAAGTTTCAGTTTGTACTTACTTCAGTAAACAGGGTTTTCCTCAACAACTTACATTGTTCTTGTGGCTAGAATGTTTCATGGTGGGACATGGAGCAGTATTCTAGAGTTTAGCCCATTTTTAAATGATCAGGCCTAGGGGAGGCTGTCTTACCATTAGTAATCAACATTCTTCCGTATCTTCCAGTTATGTCCACAAGTTACAAGTTGAATTGAAGGGAAAGGAGACGTTTGGAATGTGGGGGAAAATTGTCCTCATTCGGTCTATCCTTTCTGCCTCCTGGTCCTTTCCACCCCTCCCCACCACAAGAGCTGGCTGTGTCGTTCCTACAGAGGCACCATGTGAACATTTTCCTTCAGTCAGTTCTAGGGCGCCAGGACTTGAAGGAAGGAAAAAGCTCCCACTTTTAAAGTGAAATGTAGTTTCATTTTTATACAACACCATTTCCCTCCAACTGTCCTATAGTCTGTGGACACTAAATTATACATTATATCTTAATCTGAATACCTTTAGTGTTCTTTACATTTGGGGGGTATTTAGATGTCATTTTGGGTGAACCTTGGAGGCTTGGCATAAATTGATCTCCATCAAGGCTTAGAAGAGACATTGAGCTACAAATTTGAAGAAAAAAGATCACTCAAATCAGGGCACCTCTTCTTGCGATTGGTGAGGCAGAAGTCTTTGGTGACTCCTGCCTCTGCAGATGCATTCTGAAGTACATTTGCCAGTTCTCTACCTTTTTCCTCTTATTCATTTCATCTTTTTTCTTTTCAATCTGAATCTTATACTTTTCCCCTCAAGATGAAAATATACATATCTGTGTTTCTCCCCTTTTTTTCTTGCCCACTTTTTGTCATTTATCAGCTTAAACATTGAGATCCTACTTAATAAAGTAAACTAAACATTTGCAATCATTAGTCAAATACATCACTTTCTTTTTTTCTGATCAGGACATGTAGCCACCTATTTGGAGAAGAGGAAAGGGAAAGAGAAGGATGGAAAAATGGGAAGAAGAAAAAGCAAGGTTGTTTTCAGATTCACAGAAAATACAAAGTCTGTAGGTGTTTGTTTATACTCATCTGCCAAACAATTTCTCTAAATCTACAAACAGATACTGTCTACTTCTTACCTCCCCACACACAAACACCAAAAACATTATTATGGCAACTATTGCCTATTTTGCCAGGAAATGTTTATTGTCAGCAACAGCACAAGAGTGAGAATGTGATTAGGAGGCTGAAATTTAAGCAAACTCTCAGATAAGCAGAAAGACATTTATATGCAGAAGAAGCAGTCTTTGTTTTCAAGGAAAATCATGAGAGTAGATGTTGGTAATTCCAGAACACAAAGAGAACAAGTATATTATTTTGCAGTTATAGGATTATTGGTGGAATGCATATTTCTACAACTGAGGCATGTAGAGCTTGTTGATTGACCTTCTACTTAGAAAACAAAGGAGCCAGGTTAAAAGAATGTCTTCAAGATGTATTTTTACCAAACACTTGTCCCTTTTGCAGTTCCCTTGAGAACACAGTGTGAGTAGATGAGACTTTGATAATCAAAGTAGAAGATGATTTAAGTTGCAGGGGTGTATATGAAACACTCCGGTCCTTGCCCCTTGAACTTTAGGGCAATGTAGTGTTGGGCACTCTCCTTCTCTTTCCTCTTGAACCTGAACTGTAATTGAAAGCTGCTCTTCATTACAGTGCCTGGCAGTCCACCTCTTTGCAGATTTTTGCAGAGCTATTGAGAGAACTCACTGCCCTGGAGACAGGTAATGATGTGTTCAAATAGAACACAGTATGCTTTAAAAAAATATGTTCATTAGTAGAAGGGCTTTGTCCTTCCTCCAGCCCCTCTCTGCTGAGGTGGAAAGGGAATCTAGTGGTCGAACAAGAGGCAAGTAGTTGCTAGAAGTTCTCGCCTACATCCAGGGTTGCCACAG